TTCGCAGCAGGATACTTTGAACTTTCGACGAATAAGTTTGCCCGGCTAAGCTGAATAGTATACGTAAGTATATGACAGCGATTATCCCGATATTCCAAAGAGATTTTCAATCGTGTTTAAATTCAATATCCTAAACCGATTTTCACGTCAATCGAGCATAAAGTAACGTAACGTATTACAGGGATATTATTAAAAATATGTTGACTGTACATTTACAACATTTTACATCGTGATATTACATTTGTGGATATTCTGTTCTTACCTCAAATTAACAATACAAACAGATTCTATCGTGACCACAGTAAATGATTATTACCGAGTTTCCTGGTATAGTTCGCTTTGATTTAATTAGCTCTGAGTAGCGATCGATACTGGATTTGGAGTCGAGAGCATTTCGTACCAAGATCACCTGCTTGTAATGTTTAATTTTAGCGTAGAGGTTTCCTATGAATAAAATTGACAGAAATAATTTTCTCTTTAAGATCATGCATATATCTTTTCCCTCCAGTGCATCTTCCATAAGAACACGTACAAACATATAATGTTCTTGTCTCTTATTATACACAATACATGAAATTTCTAACTTCCTTACTTAAGTCTTAGAGATCCCTCATCCTTAATCTTTGAAAGAATATTGGAAAAGATATTCTTACATGACAATAATTCTGATTTCGGTTTTAAATAATAAACGTGCCACTAAGATTTCACACTATTATTGTAACTCACCCTGAATAATAAGTAACAAACTTTTATAAGAACCATATCGATATCTATACCGTTAATAAAATAAAATAATTAAAATCTTATGTTAAACTATACTGTCATCACTCCGTGATGCTGTGCTTTGCTATGGCTGTTACTGATTAAAAATTGCAACGCTTCGATGCTCTCGACACACACACACACACACACACACATTTGAAGACCTGCTCTCAAAACGAAAATTTTGGATGCTTACGACCACGAAGATTGGACAACTAGCGAAACTGTACAAGGGTAGTCACGCCCCGGATAAAAGGGAGCGACCAATAGGACGACTCCAGGTAGAGAGGGTTATGGACGAAATTAAAATATCCTTCCTACGTAATGACGCTACAGATACGTCGCTAAGGATGTACGTGAGTCCGCAGGACGAGGACTATATGGTTCTAGTCCGAATAGCTCCCTTTGCAATAGAAAGGGTGGTTTTCGACCCCTAGTCGAAGGGTTCAACGGGCATCCCCTTGGAATCGCGGATACGGCGGACATATGCTAAGGCAAGGGAGAGAGAAGCGTTATTGTATTATTCACGACTCTCAGCCCCGTAAGATAACGTTACCGTGATTTTTAATAGGCGGATGCAAGGATGTGAGAGTGTGGGGGGTGTGCCCCTTCATGTATACTTCGATAATGGGATTAGTCGTGTTGTTAGGGGGTTTAAAATCGTGGCTATGTTTTCTCAATGTTTTTTCACTTCACCGGTACGCGCTAAATAATATGGTATATTATCTGTTAATATCGAGACTTTTAACCCTTAGAGATTATCACGATCCAATGTAACTTAATCGTTGATAATAATAAGGTATGTATAGATATTAAAATTCTAATAACTAATTAAGTTAATAAAAAGTTAAACATTTTTACAACAAAAGCAAAACTTGAGACTTCCTTTAAAAAACATTTTTTTTTCATTTAACCAAATAGTTTATTTATCATTTAACAAGATTTCGTTACTTATTTTACGGCACAATTGCAAACCAAATAATTCCATAACTATCAATATTTAAGTACTGCAACAACTATTATTTCTTTCTCTTCTAAAATATTTTACTAAAACGTATCATCATTGTATCGTATTGCCACAATTTTGTCCCAATCACGAAACGATCATCAGGTCGCGTTTCCCTTGACATAATGAATGCGTCGTCGCGCGCAATTAATTTTCGGGTGCATCGACAGGTGCAGCCAGCATGGAATCGTTCGCACAAGAATACACTAGCGCAATGACGAGGCCGAAACTCTGATCGTGAAAGTGGATATTCGAAACGGTGTTTCATGTTAAACACTAATTTTCCGCTTTGTGAACGCATCACGGTTTCATCCATTGCGCGACTCGCTCGATAAATTACAGGAACGGCTAATCAAGAAATTAGTCGCGTGTATGGAAGTCAAACGATATTACCATTATTACCTCCCTTTCTGACTTTCCGTTGATACGCTTCGCTGTACCGCGATGGCGATTTTCGGAGGCAATCTCAATACAAAATACGTTACGCGCAGATGCAATATGTTTCTACTTAAAATTCAGCTGCATATATTCTATGAATAATGATTAGGTCTTCATTTACATGAGTGAAAAACTAATAAATAGTAATCCCCTATAACTGAATGAATTTTTTGTAAATCTTACATGCATTTACAACTTTTTTTTTGTATGTAAAGCAATCATTTTTTGATTCATTGGATCGTTTAGTTCTCTTTTACAATTTAATTAAAATATATTCTACGATTAATATTGCAATAAAAAATAAACTTCTGCAATCTTGCGCAAGGACATTAAAATATCATTTTAAAGAAATAAAATATATTACTCTTCAAGTGGGCAAAACGTTTTTTCCGATGATCTTCGATCAGTCAACATATAATACTCAAATCATGCTACAGATTTTGTATTCCATAGTTTTTTTCGCCATTTTTCTCTGGTTATTCCCACAACAGTTACTTTTATTTCAGCTGCGAGATTTCATCAGCATGATACACTCGGAGATGCAAATTTTCGTAAGAAGAAAGAAGAAGCAAGCAAAAATAAAACTAGTAGAGTCTCAGTTTCTAAAGCAGATCCGAGATTTGATTTGAGCTTCCTCGCTGAATATCGATCCGCGGCGGAAAACGAATTTATGTTTTGCCCCTTCGGAGAGACACCGACGGAAAGCGATCTTGTCTGTAAATCGACGTTAGTAAATAGACCAGCGTAATTTCATTCCTATGAAACTGATCCATCTACGTAATAGAGGATGATAATGTCGAAATTTATTTTCTCGCTAATCCTTCCAGAAATTGTGCGACTCGTGAATCAAATGTTAAAAAAGAAAATAGAGATTTATTTCGTTTTTTTTACTTAAATTACATTATAAATACATTAATTTAATCCGCTCATTTACTCCAAAAATGGCATAAATAAAAAAAACGTGATTTTCGAATCATTACCATGAATAAATTAAGCAAACATTACTTTATTCCAATTATTTATTTCAATTATCAAAAGTAAACTAACTAAAAAAATCATCAAAATCGTTACGATTTAAAAAGAATAATTTTTAAGAGTATTAAACAAAGATGACAAAAATAACATTTGTTTACGTTAAGTCTTTTTCGTCAATATTATTTCATTAGTTAATAATTTTCTGTTAAGTTAAAAAATAATTTTCCCCTTTTCTGGAAAACTCAATTTTTTTTAGTTGTGTCACTTGCGAAGTAAGAGAGCAATATACTCTCTAAAAACATGTTTACGTTATTCAATCGTTTATCTATATAAATACAAAATCGCAAGTTTAAACGCATTAAGAGCAATTTATTCAAACTTTCGAATTTTAAAATAAAATAAAGAATTATTTAAAAAATGACAAGATAAAATTAGAGATGTGTTATTCTTTTATTCTTCTCCTAAAATATATCTTAAATGCATTAGCAGTTAGAGATCAGATTAAATATACAAATTTCATTACGTCCAATTTTTTTTCTGAAATCCAATTAATTTCTGGAAATCTATTGTGGCGTCATTTACCTAATTTCGCGCCGTCGGAGACTACTAATGACGCTTTCCACAAATCGATGTAGGTACCAACGTCTTTAGCTAACTCCTCCTACCAGCTTATCTTGATTGCCCGCGCAGATTCTTCAGCACGTTCCAAGGAAACCCAGTTGATAAACGTTGACGAGGAGAAAAGGTGGAAAGAAGGAACCTTTCCACCCTTGTTCGTAAAGAAAAATTAAAGAAAAAGACGAAAAGATCTTTTATCTTCCACTGCTCTTGTCGAAACTGGATCGTATGAATTCAGATCATCATTTAGACGACGGAAATTATATCAGGATTAAAATACACATTAAACAAGATTCATTAATAGTAATTATAGTATCCCCGAACAGTATTTCGCACGATAAAATGTTTTTACAAAATATTTTTATAAATCATAAAGTTAAAATTATAAACAAATAATTATCTCTATTTCCTTGCGATGACTCGAGAGTTTTAAAGCTGACTTCGGAGTTAAGAATACTTTGAAACTTTTTATTAACTTATCAAGAAAGAAAGAGAAGATCTAATATCTACATTAGCTTATTTGATCGATTTAAATCATACTTTGAGTTCATCGGTCGTACTCCGGAATAACGGCGGGCAGGGTATGGCGGGGTCGGAGCGTCGATAATAATAGAAAGATGGTAAAGAGGCCGTATAAAATTTCCGGCGATATTAGCCACCCGTCGAATTAGCGCTGCAAGAAAATACCCTACTCACTGTCGTTCCCTGGGGAGGGCAGTTAGGGTGAACCCCGAATGGGGCACCCTCGTGGAGAAGAAGGGCGGGGCCCCGTATGAAGGGGCCCCGAATCAAAACCAACCCCTGGGTGGAGTTTGCACCCCGTATATATAACAAGACCAGGGTCCTTGAAATACAGAATTCGATGCACCTCCGTGCAGTTAAGATCTTCGAGTTTATATTTTTAACTTCGTTTCTTACAATTAAAAACATTAAAAGGTGCGAGTTTAAAAGCAAAAAAAGATAATCGTCTTAAAAATAACCGGAAAGAGTAATCAGAAAAAGCAAAGAAAGAACGCAGTGATTTCAAAGCATCATTCTTTGTACCGTTAAATTCAAAGTAAGAATTAAACAGAAAGTTAAGTGCGACGAGAAAGATATCAATGATCGTTGGATTACTTTGTGTCGCGTGTGAACTTCACGGCTTTGGACACAACTTGAGCAGTTGTATCGATCTTCCGGGGAATTCTTCAAAGAGAAGAAAATGTCTCGAAGCTTCCTAGTGGATTCTTTAATCGGCAACAACTCGCCGCCGTCGTATCCGCTACCATATTATGGGAATCTGCCTAATTACATGTTCAGTTTTTTTAATGTGGGTTTGGGATACCAACCGATCAGACCAGTGCCCAGACCACCCACTATACCTGTACCAATCACCCCACCGACGTTGGGTGTTATGCCGATACCTAGACAGAGTCCTCCATCACCTTTAAACAACTTGACAAGCAGACTACCAGGTAAATATATTATTATCTTACTAATAAATCCATAATTATTTATTAATGATTCATAAAGATATAATAATTATTTTCGTGATTACATGCAATGTTAATTGTTAACAATTAACATAATGAGTCTAAAGTCGTATTTAATATTGTATCTCAAAAACCGATCTTCATTTAATTATATTTAATGTAATTATATGATATAAATATGATATAATAAATATCAAATGTATACCATTACAGTTATTATACATTAATCATATATAATGTAAGTTATATATAAAAATAATTAAAATTAGTAGATATTTTAAAATTTTTAATATTTATTCATTTTTAAGATCTCTACGATATCATTTTAACTATTTTAGATAGCATTTTTGTGATATTTTTCCAATCTCGCTAAAGAAATATATAATATGTAAAAGCAAGCATTCTATTAAATTTCTTCTATCACAATAACTACCTCTCGCAGCAACGCTATTAACCTCTGACCTTTTTCCCCAGACGTTTCAACACCCAGCGAGTCTCCGTCCCGCAACAGTACCCCGACGCCTCCGCCAAAATCCCCGAGCTCCATTAGCAACAGCTCGAAGCGTATCCGAACCGCGTTCACTAGCACTCAGCTGTTGGAGTTGGAGCGCGAGTTTGCCTCAAACATGTACCTGTCACGACTACGTCGAATTGAAATCGCGACGAATTTGCGGCTATCAGAGAAACAGGTAAAGATATGGTTTCAGAACCGCCGTGTGAAATATAAGAAGGAAGATCTGCCATCTGGCCAAAGTCAGAAATGCTGCTGCCTACGAACTTGCGGTAAACGCAAGGATAGCTGTGGAGAGGAATCGCCTGGCCGAAAGTGCGATCAAGATGAGGATGAAAAAAGATCGATAAAAAGCGAGAGTGATGATGGCAAATTTAGTCGCGGACTTGTAACTGAGCGTCTCGAGAGATCGATCGCGAATGAAGACGTCGGTCCCGAGGAGAAGTTCGACTTCTCGAGAATAAACTCCGTACAGGAAGATCAGGTACTCGGATACGAAGCGCGGGATCTCTCTCGAGGTTGCAAGAGGAGTTTGGGAGCAAGTGAAGAGAACGACAAGAGGAGGAAGATGGAGACGGTGGCAGATTATCAAACTCCGAATCCAGAGGCGATTACAACTCCAATGTTCAGAAGTATAACATGCACGAAGCATACCGTTGAGAGTATCGTTAACTCGTAAATTTGAAAGTCTGTACATAAATTTTCGAGAATTGTAAAGTAATGTAAAGTTCAAACTCTCACGATACCTTTACAAATTGAACAAGTAGATAAATAAACAGATAAGCACTTTAAGAAAAGAACTGAGACAATGAAATTATATACACTGAGATTATATACAGAATATATTCAACAAATTGTGAATATTGTAAATATATTTTGTAAGACTGTATTGTAAATATATTTTTGTATGATTTATATAGAAAACCCCAAATTGTATATATTTTTAATATAAATTTAACCAAAATAAATATCACAATTATGAAATTGTGCCTTCATTAAAATTTTAATTCCTTTAAACAAATACAATATGTTCATTTATTTTATGCTCAAATTACTCTCAGAAAACATAAATTTTAAAATAGTTGCACAATAAAATTTTGACTTGTAAAAATTTCATTGAATTTTCACAGAAAGTATCTTCTTTTCGTAAAAAAAAATATATATATAAAACGACAAAAGATAAGAATTTTAGATAATAAAAGATTAATAATTTCTTATTACTGATATAAAATAATTAAAATGATTTAATAAAAACAATTCTATGTTCAAAATGCATAATTATTTTCAATTAAATATATTTAGTTGTTTACTAATAATGAATTCGATTGGACGCATTCAGTGCGCACTGGTGCACATTAAAGCCGTTGTACAAAATAATGTAAAGATATGTTTATAAATATAAACATAGAAATCGATTAAATCGTGAAATACTTAATATATTTTATTGTACTATTAGGTATAATATGTATTTCATAATTCGAAATTTCATATTTATACTCAAATTAAATCAGTGTACAACGACTTGAGTGCGCACTAATGTTTCCAATCGAATTCACCGTAAGATATTAATGTTGCTCTTGATTATTGCAATATGTTTTATGAAAATATAATTTCAGAAATATATATGAAAAAGCTTCTTCTAAAATATTTTAAAAAACAGCAAACGATAAAATACGTTCTTTTCAATATATATATCAATAACTTAAAACGACCAAAAGACGAGCAAATTTTAATAATTAAGTAGATCCTTTTTTTAACCATTTAATAAAATAGTAAATATAATATAATATAATATAACCGTCAACAATAAAAGAATTAAGCAATATCAGACAATTTTTAAGAAAGTTTTAATTCGAACGTATTAGCTCACACTGTATTATATAAGTTTAAATTCATCAACACTCTTGTTTTTTCTTAATAAATTTATACTGACTTAAATTTAATTGTTCAGACAATTTTACAATATCAACTTCACAATTTACATCGGACGTAATTCTCGCTGTCAAATGAATTTGTTATTAGATTTTACATTGATGCTAACTTATATTTTATTATTGGATATAGGGTATGCCTGCATTTCTAATGACCACATCATATGCGGAAAGAAAATTCTGTCTGATTATCGACCTGATCGTTTATTGTCACTTAAAAGTCAGATTTAGGATTGTAAGTTTTAATTTTTATGTTATTATAAACTGATGAAGACTCTGTGAGCCGAAACGTATTATATTATATTTGCTATTTTATGAAATGGTTAAAAAAAAATCCACTTTAAATATCTTATTTGCCCGTCTCTTGGTTTTAGATTATGATATTTTGCTTTACAAACGAGCGTTATATTATTATTGTTTAATATCATATATTTTAAAAATATATAATTACATTGTGAAATACATACAAATGCACAATTAATAAAGACAACTGATAAAAATCATTTCAATTATCTTGTAAATATTATCTTGTACGCACATATGTAATTTATTTTATTTCAAATATGACGATATCAATTCAAAGGACAAGTGTGGCAGCTAATAAAAAGTTACGAACTGGAAAGTTACAACTGATCACCAGAATATAATTTCTCATATACAAAGCCTACAAATAATGTATCAAATGTTCATCCTAAAGAAGTGTCTCCGACACACGTCACCACCTTCAATAGCGTAACGCGCGCCGATGTGTGATTTTCCAGTCAAATGATTGGTTAGAAAGAGTACAACTCAACAAGAGTGCAACACGGTCACTCGAAGGACCCGTTCGCCATTGTCGGTGGGAAACTAGTCGTGTTGCCCTTAATCCCGAAAATTTGTCAAGAGGGCCCCCACTTTAGGTTAAATTTAAGGTAAAACGTAGTTAATGGTGCTAAGAAGCCGTGCGACAATACGTTAAGATCTCTCGCGCTCTCGAAGTCTTGAGCCCGAGCCGACAATGGCACACTTGTGTTGCCATTCGCGGGACTCGACGAAACGTGAAAACCAGCCGGCTGTCCTTTTTTTCTATTCCCGAACGCGACAACACCGTGCCCCATTCACGGTAGCCAAGAAGTCCCCGTGGTCGCGTAGATTTGCTTCATTCATCTGTTCGGAGAATCAATAACGCGTAGGAGGGAGAGGGACCGATCTCGCAGACTGAATGACGACAAAAAGTCAAAATCGAAAAATCGTGCTTGCACGATCCGCCTTTCTGCCTTTCGTCCTGCACAACGGCGGCCGGTGCTTTTCAATCGGATGATCGCTCGGAATGAGTCTAAAGAACGTTTAAGGAATGCGGACTCGTCGACAATTTCTCGCCTCTTAAGAGCGGTAGCGGGCGCATTCGGTTATGGCAGTTTAAAGTGAATGCGAATACAAGTGATGTATGGAGTGCCTCTTAAATCCCGACGATTTTTATAATCTTTTCTACCTGAGATGGCGGTTGCTTCTGAGTTACGACACTTTTAATCAATTGCAAGATTTATATTATATATATAGAAAGAATAAACAGTCAGATAAAAATAAAGATTCGGACAAATAACCATTTATATATGCACTCATTTAACAAATATGTAATCGGAGAAAAGCTTAATAACCACGTTTCAATTGAATCCAACGTTTTGTTCATTTGCAGCGGCATCAAGTTAAATGAACGTACGATGCTCAAACGCAATTCAATTTTCCAGACCCTCGCGTGTTCACATCTCGAATTCAATCGGATCATCGACAACGATAATGATATACATAGATGCAGTCGTTTCTTTGTACCCCAATTCACGGTATTCGCGTGTGTCAGTTGATTCCGTCTACCAAATCGCGACGTGCCGTGTCGCGCAATTCCACACTGATTGCGTCAATGAGAAACCGCACGAATAATTAAGCACGTTGCGTCCTTGCTGTCGAGAAACGTAATGGAATTGCGAACGACATCCGAAGAAAATAATGACAGTGTATTAAGAGTTATTCGGTTCACTTTACCGAATTCTAAGGGACAATCTGCATGCACAACAACGTGCATTATCACAGCACTATTAAATTATATAAAGTTACGTATAAATCGCGTTACACAATCCAATCATTTCCCTGTAACAATAATCTAAGACTGCAGTTGAGAGATCTGACGTATTTCTAATATTAAAGTAGACAGCAAGCAATAAAATAATACATGTTATTTTAATCTATATGTTTTTTTTATATAAAAAATAGAATTCCTGTTGTATAAAACAAGACATTTTACTAAAAGTTTTCTTCAAGAAATAAGTTACTTTTCTCTTATATTAACTCATTTAAATTCTTTATTTACATAATTTCTTTATAGCAAATTTTCATTTTATTATACATAAAAAAATATATTTTCTCAGTGCTATATAAAAATGTTATATAGTATTATAACAATTATATTATCTATACATTTATATTATCTGTGCATAGTATATATTATCTATATGTATTATATTTCATGTATATCACGAATACTTTTCTATTTTATTACATAAATTATTCGGTTTGATATAAGTTGCGAATAGCAAAGAAAATGATATTCATATAAACATTCCATCGTCGCTTAATTTTTGGATGAACGATTAATTTTTTTATCAATTTACATTCTGTCGAATAGCTGAATTCAATGAAACTGCAATCTTACTCCTATAATTTGCGACTACAACTATTTCTATTCAGCGATCATGACAGATCGTCCGAATTGTCGGAGAGGGTTTACACGAGTGATTATAATAAGTCCGAACATGCTTGTGCTCTCCAAAGAAACTGGTGCGACACGATCGCAACGGTCTGTGCGATTCAAAATTCACGGGAAAGAGACGATAAAGAATAAGGCAAGGAAGACAAGAGAGAAGAAAAAAACGAAGAGAGAGAGAGAGAGAGAGAGAGAGAGAAAATTGTCGGCAGCAGCCGATTTCTGGTTCCGGTGCACTAATTCATTTCATCTTATGCGCACTGAAGAGGCGCTCCATCAAAGCTCAAAAAAGCCACCGCGACAGCACTCCAGCGCGGAAGATCGGCGGAGGGCGAGATGACAGGGTGGTGCGGGCACTCGAAAGTTGAAACCGTTTTTGCCTCTTTACACCGGAGGACAATGGCGATAGCAACGTCGACCATTGTAAATCTCTTTCATGGCGTGGCTTCGGGCAGCTCGTGTTTGAACCAATCGATTGATACTAGCAGATGCGACTACGAGAATTTCGTTTTAATAAATAACACGAAAACATTTTAGAGATATCCATATTGGAAAATTTTTTTGAGTTTATCAAAAATGCACATGAAAGAAGAGAGTAAACAAAAGTTTGCTGTAGCGCGAAAAAAGGAAAAATTAATCTTTTATGATTTAGTTTCCTCACACACAAAATATATTTAAAAAATCGACAATTTTGCGGAAACATAAAGAACATGAAACTATTATATATCGTCCTGAGAATCTTGTTCCGACATTGAGATAATGTTTCTGGAAAAGGTAAAAATACTGAAATCAATACGATAAATTTGTTCGGCACTATAAATTTGGCTTTAACGGCGTTTCCCGACTCTCCGACATCGTTCACTTCACACAAAGCGCGAAACTCTCGAAATATACCTTGCGAACGACGAATTCTCATTGTATCGTGTAGGCACATTGTGCA